TTTATTTATTTATTTGAGAGAGAGAGAGATAGCGAGAGAGAACATGAGCAGGGAAGAGAGGAAGAAGCGAGCAGGGAGCCTGATGCGGGGCTCGATCCCAGGACCCTGGGATCATGACCTGAGTGAAGGCAGATGCTTAACCAACTGAACCACCCAGGCGCCCCTCCCCTCTTTTTTTTTTTAAAGATTTTTAAAAATCTTTAATTTATTTACTTTACGGAGTGAGGGGTGGGCAGAAGAGCAGAGGGAGAAGGACAAGCGGACTTTGTGCTGAGCGTAGAGCTCCATGCAGAGCTCGATCCCATGATCCTGAGATCATGACCTGAGACAAAATCGAGAGTCGGATGCTTAACCAACTGAGCCACCCAGGCACCCCTCCAAAGCCTTTCTCTTAAATCTGGCTCCGCTTAATGCTTATTTGATCACTCCCCTTGTAAATAACCTTCCATCTCAGCACCACCCTCCCCTCATGGATTCCTTCTACTCAGGCTCTGACCATTCTGGGCCCTTCCTCACTCCTCCTGGGCTCTGACACCCTTCTCTGTGACTCCCTCCCACCCGCAGAGGCACATTTGCCTAACTTGTCCTGCCTCACCTTTAGGACTGAATTATTCCAGAAGTAAAGGGAAAACAAGAGAAGGAAGATCTTTCCCTTTATTTTCAAATCATAAGCATTTTCTGCTGGCTCACAGTCTTCATCGTGATTATATATATTTTTTCAGATTTTATTATCTATTTATTTTAGAGAGAGAGTGTGCCCATGGTGGGGGGGGTTGGGAGGAGGTAGGGAGAGAGACTGGCCCACTCCACGCGGAGTACAGAGCTGGATCCCACAACCCCAAGGTCATGACCTGAGCCGAAACCAAGAGTCAGACGCTCAACCCACTGAGCCACCCAGGCGCCCCTCATTGTGATAATTTTTAATGGCAGCGTATTTACTATTCTATGGTCTGTTTAACCACTTCCCTGTTTTTAAACATTTAAGGTGCTTCTGGTTTTTCTTTTTATGACTGATACTGCTGTAGACAGCTATAGGCTTATCACATTGTTATTGTGGTTGTTTTAGCCATTGTAATAGATATGTAGTTTTTTATCGTGTTTTTTCCTTTTCCTTTTTTTAATTTTTTTAAGATTCTATTTATTTGAGAGAGAGAGAATGAAAGGAGGAACAGAGGGGGAGGGAGAGGGACAAGCAGACTCCACAATGAGTGGGGAGCCTGACAAGGGGCTGGATCCCAGGACGCTGAGATCATGACCTGAGCTGAAACCAAGAGTCTGACACTTAACTAACTGAGCCACCCAGCTGCCCCTATTGTGGTTTTTTAAGAGCTTTATTGAGATATAATTCACATACCGCTAAAGGCTGAAGGTTTGTGTCCCCTCAAAATTCATATTAAAATCCTAACTTTTGGGGCACCTGGGTGGCTCAGTCGTTAAGCGTCTGCCTTCGGCTTGAGTCGTGATCCCGGGGTCCTGGGATCGAGCCCCGCATCGGGCTCCCTGCTCAGCGGGAAGCCTGCTTCTCCCTCTCCCGCTCCCCCTGCTTGTGTTCCCTCTCTCGCTGTGTCTCTCTCTGTCAGATAAATAAATAAAATCTTTAAAAAAAAAATCCTAACTTCCAAGGTGATAGTATTAGGAGGTGGGGCCTTTGGGAGAGGATTATGTCATTAGGGTGGAGCCTTCCTGAACGGGATGAGTACCCTCATAAAAGAGACTGCAGGCAGAGAGCCAGCTTGCCCCTCTGAGGACACAGTGAGAAGGCACCATCTGTGAATCAGGAAGTGGGCTCTTGCCAGACACTAAATCGACTGTCATCCTGATCTTGAACTTCCCAGCCTCCAGAACTGTGGGAAATAAATTTCTGTTGTTTATAAGCCACCCAGTTTATGGTATTTTGGTATAGCAACCTGACCACACTAGACGCATACTATATAATTTACCAATTTAAATTGTACAATTCAGTGGCTTTCAGTATTATTCAGAGATTTGTGCAACCAGCACCACGATCAATTTTAGGACGTTTTCATTACCCCACAAAGAAATCAGATACCCCTTATAGACCTATAGCTTTTAATAAGAAGGCTGGAAATAGGATGTGGTTGAGATGGGTAGCCCTTGCTCTCAGACTACTTCCAGTGACGCAGAAGTTAAGATGAACCCCAAAAGGCAGCCAGGTCCCAGATGTCCCCTATTCTGGCAATCTCCTGCTGGGCTGCTCAGAATGTCCACCCAAGTCCCTCTCCTTCAACTTCCTCGGCAGGCTCCTAACCATGACTTCCTTCATTGAGGAAAGAAGGAGGGAGGAAGGGCTGCTCCTTGCTTTCCTTAGGCAACAGGGCCACTTCTACCTCCCCCAGGGAGTTGGAAAAGAGAAATGACCCCAGTGTATGGAACTGAGTCAGGGGCCTCCAGGCCAGAGGGGTGATAGTGGGGAGGACCCCAGAGCCTTTTTTCATCTGTGGTTCCAGCACTCAAACATTGAAAGCCAGGAGTTTTCTGCTCTGAAATAAGAGCAGATTCTTGATCATTTTAGAACCTGAACCTATTGAAGAGGTTCCATTATAACACAAAGCCAAAAAAGAGACAGAGGGAGTAAGTCACTGAACACTTGTAGTTCAGAAGTGCCATCCTCACAGGTGAAGGGTGATGGCTTACAAACCTCCAGGACTCAGGACAGGATGGGGGCGGGGAGATGCTTCTGGTTTCCAGTTCTGTTCTGCAACCTTTGTCCAGCACCTGTTGTGTAGTACCAGGCACTGTGACACACTCTAGGACACAGACAGGAATGCCCTGATGCGGTTCAGAGACTGGGAGGAAAAATGAGCGCCCACACACCTTTATATCAAAGTGTGACAAATGTCAGGAGCGAGGGAAAAAACATACTGGTGTAGGGTTTAAGGAAAAGAAAGCTACCTCAGTAGAGTGGGCTGAAGACTATATTCCTGGCAGAGGTGACACTTGAACTAAAGCCATAAAAGATAGTTAAAGTTTAGATGGTGGGAATGGGGGAAGGGCATCTCACAACAGTGAGCACAGAGATGGACAAGTAAAGGAAGGCTGGCACAATTGTCTACTCCCAAAATTCCACTCCCTTATCCTTTCTGAGGCCTTTTAGTAGGTAGATTCAAGATTGATGAGGGAGGGAAGGGGGAAATGAGCCCTCAGCAGGATCAGGAATTGGGCTGTTGGACTCAGGGACTGGAGCCTCAGTGGCGGGGCCTATGAGAGTGATGGTACGTGTGTCTTGAGGGGGCAGGAACCGAAGAGCAGAGGCTGGAGCTCTGGACTGTGGCAGAGCCCATATTCCCTCTGGCTGAAGTCTAAGTGATCCAACGTGGGACATCCAGAGCCTTGGATGGCACTGGTAGGGGGTCGTCCTCCTAGCTGGCTTCAAAGCCAGCCAGCCATTGGACTCACTCAGTTGGCAGGTCAGGTCAGCAGCCCAGTGACCTGGGCTTCAATGAGCTGGGAGCTCTGAGTGAGGTCCCTGAATGTTGGAGTGTGGAGCAGCTTGGCTGAGGGACAAGGAATCAAGAGGCTACATCTTTCCTCCTGAGATCAGACCACTGGGTGAAGGGTTTCCCAGGGTCTCCTGGTCTCCAGACTGGATGGAGGGTGGTCCACGCACAGCAAGGGACAGAATGAGGGATGGCTGGTTTCATGGAGTTAGTTGAGACCAAAAATTATCCTTTATGAACTCTCCAGATAGAGGAGAAACTGGTGGGCACTTTTTTTTAAAGATTTTTTTTTTAAAGTAATCTCTATACCCAACATGGGGCTACAACCCTGAAATCAAGAGCCGCATGCTATATGGACAGAACCAGCCAGGTGCCCCTGGTGGGCACTTTTTGTGACTTGGACACATTGAAGCACACATTCTCAAAATGAAGTTACATTCAGACAAATGCAAAGAGACATGTAGAATTCATATTTGTAAAAACCAAAGAAGAAAAAATCCAAAGAGAAAAAAAATACCTTGCACAGGAATGATAAACATCAAATTCAACAACATGGTTACCCATGGGGTAAGAAGGAGGGGAGAGCTCAAGAAGTGGGGCTTCTTTTTTATTTGTGATATTTTGGTTCTTAAAAAAATTTGAAATAAATGTGACAAACTGTTAAGATGGACAGAGCTGGTGGTTAGGCCTAAGAGATTTAGTATATTACAGTCTACACTTTTCAGTGTGTTTGAGATATTGCATTAAAAAAATCGAAGAAACAGTAACTCAGGAAATCAGTTGGGGTGGGGAGTGGGCATGTCACGGTGGGGAGTGGGGTGGGGTGGGGGTGCTGGCAAGGTGTCTGAGACCTGCTGGAAGAGGGCTAGGCAGGCAGACCCAGGCTGCTGAAGCTAGCAGGGAGCATGAAAGAAGGTGCCAAGATCAAGGTCCGATCATAGTTTAGGAAGGGCTGGGCCCAGGGGAGTCCCAGTAGTCACGGAAGTGAAAGCGCGGGAGAGACATTGAGAGTGTGTGCGCAGAGGGTGTGTGCTCCCCGTAAGCCCCATAGACGTGGCAGCTCCGGGTAGGGGCCAAGCTGGGGTGGCAGGCTCTTCTTCGCAGGGCTGGCCACGAGTCCCAGGAAGCCTTGCACCAGGCGGACAATGCACCAGGTAGACTCTTGGCTCACCCCCTCCTGCTAGACTGCCTGACTCCCTGCAGGGACCCCAGCCCTTTCACCAGCCTGAACTTCCCTTTTTCCCCTGTACATCCGGAGCTTCTTCCCCCCCTCCCTCCCCTGCCCTGGGAGCTCTGTGGCCTGGGCCCCAGAGAGCCTTAGACTTTTAACTGGGGGTGGGTATTGGGCTTTCTACATGCAAAGGGACAGTATGGGGATGACAGTGTGACTGAGAAACTAAAGAGAGAGTGTTCTGGGTAGCCTTCCCTGGACCCCAATTGCCTTCTCTTGGGGCAGGGACAGGCTGATGGCTCAGGTTTAGGGGAGAGGCTCCACCCCGGACGGTTGGGCCCATGATGGTCCAGCGGGGCAAGGGGAGGCTAGGGAGAGAAGGTTTCTTAAGCCTGTGGTGACTTCGTCAGCTGGCTCTGATGTTTATCGTTTGGAGGATTGCTACCTTCATGGTAATCCATCCCACCCCTACTCAACAGTTAGCAGAGCAGAGACAGACAGACATTACCCCCAGCTTCTGGCTGAGACCCTGAAACAGGCTGAGGCTCGCGTGGGTTCTCTTCAATTCAGCCAGGAGTCCACACCGGGCACCCCTCCCCTCCGGGTCCAGATCCTGAGACCCGTAAGAAGATCCTATGTTATGGGATGAGGTATCCCCTTTGCTTCACCCCAAGCTTTGGGGGTTCCTGCCTCATTTTCCTTTCTCCCTCCCCCAGGGTACCACCCTTCTACCTTCTGTGTGAGTTGAGGGTCGTGGGAACCTAAGACACAATGATTCCCTTTTCCCAGGACTTGAAGAACAGCTGCTCACTGCTGGGGGGCCAGGCTGTGGGACAGCCGACGACTAGTGTGCTCAGATTCCTGACCTAGGACGTATTATCTATCGAGGAATTTTACTGGAGGCCTGGGAAGACAGAGCAGTGGGAGGGGACGGACTTGGGGGGCCACACTCTATATGCCAGACTGTAAGGAAGCCCCTCTCCATCCCTTTCTGAATGACTTTGTCTCCCTATCTCTGTTTCTTTTTTCTCTGTCTTTGTCTCTCTGCATTTATTTCATTCCTTGTTCTTTCTTTATCTCTCTCTTTTTTTTGTCTTCTTGGCTTTGTGTTTTTCTCTTTCTCTCTGTACCCCCCCCCCACACACACACCTGTCTTTTTCTTTAATTCTCTCTCTTCCTATGTGCGGGGTTTTTTTTTGCGGGGGGGGGGTTGCTACGCATGTGTTTATCTGTATGTTTCTGTGTCTCTCCATGTCTGCACTCTGTCTCTTTCTTTCTTTGTCTATGTTTCTCTCTCCCTAAGTCTCTCTGTCTGTTTCTCTCTCTGTTCCCTTTGGGTGTCTGTCTTTCCATTTGGCTCTTTTTCTGTGTGCACATGCCCATGTCACCCTCTCTCTCTGCCACTCCTCTACCAGGCTGGCCACCATCCCTGGCCTTCTCCAGCTGTGAACGGCTCAGGGGGGCAGGAGCCCCAGAGGCAACTCCCAGAGGTGCCAGGTGGGGCCTGGGAACCACCGCAAGGGGATGGGCTGCCCCTGCTCACCGTCATTGTCGCTGCCTTTGTCCTGATGGCTGTCTGTATTGTGGTGGCAGTTCACTTTGGGCCAAGACTACATCAGGGCCGTGCCACTCTCCCCACAGAGCCACCAGCCCCAAAGCCGGAAGACGGCATCTACCTCATCCACTGGCGAGTGCTGGGCCCCCAGGACAGTCATGAAGATGCCCAGCGGGAGCCTCCTGTCCCTGGCTCCTGCCCTGTGCCAGATGGGCCTAGGCTCAGCATTGATGAAGTCACATGTCTGTAGGAGGGAGACTTTGAAAAGTTGGACGGACCTGGCTCAGAACAAGAAACCAGACAGAGAATTAGGGCACAAGCAAATTGGGGCCTGGACATCAGAGCTTTGGAAAAGCACACATGGACTCAGCTGGAGCTGCTCTCTCTGCAGAATATTTATAGAGAAAACGCTGATGTGGACAGAAGAAATAAAAGAAGCTTGAGGGCTTTGCCTGGAAACACGCTCCTGTGAGCATTGCTAGGGCCCAAAGCTGCCCTTACAAAGTGACTCCCTGCTTTTCAGGGACCATCAGATCCCTGACCCTCCTTTACCAAGTCCTTACCTCCTCCTCTCACCCCTAATCTCCTTTGCTTTTGGTGTCAACATGAGTCCAGCTTGCAAGATTCCCCCACCCACCCCACCCCTGTGCAGGGATCTCAGAGTCTCCCTGTAGAGGCCCTGCCCCCAAAGCCCCCAGGTCCTGTGAGGGCTAGTCAGGGAGAGCCACGGCAAAGAACCCAGGGGTCTGCCTTCTCTGGTACTCAGGAAGAGAAGGAAAATCTGTTGCCCTTCACCAATTGGAAGACATCCCTTTGGCTGTTGGAGCTTATGCCTCGTCAGCAACGTCCAAGGCCCTTGTAAAGCCCCAAGCACCAATTATAGCTCCCCACATTGCTTTTGAATGCCTCTTACTATGTTGGGGCAAGATTTTGTCTTGCCTTCCCAAGATGGGATGGGGGAAGTTTGGGGGCTCTCATTACGTCCCCTTTTCTGTGTGTACCGGCCGGTTGGAACCAGCATAAAACTTATCCCATGACATTGCCCAAATCCAGAACCTTCCAGCTGGTGGGAAAACAAGAAAGGAAGAGGAGCTCTATGCAGCTTGTCTACGGGAAGGAAGAAGTGAGGAGAGGTTTTGTAGGGGGGGTGGGCATGGAGGTAAGATGCAGGAAGGCAGAGCTGAGCCTCCGGGTGGCTCTCTGGAAAGTCACTCTCTCCCTGACACGTCTGCACCTCACTGAGGTGCAGTCGAGAACGTAAGGATAGGCATTTATGGAGGGGTCTCTGAGTCCTTTACCCTGGGGAACACCTGAGGACAGCCGACGCACCCTGGTACTGGCCTTGGTGAGACCCTAGCACAGTCAGGAAGGCGAGGATAGCAGACGATGAAGAGGAACAGAGGTGGAGATTGTAATGTGTTCAGAGGACTGACCTGCCTCCTTCGTGAGAGGCACCTATAATGTTCATTGCTGCTCCTTCTTGCGGCCCAGCCCTGTGCCGGCCACCCAGCTCATCTGCCGACCGGTGGCTATCAGACCGTTCACTCCCCATAAAAGCTTGGGAGGAGAAGCCACTCTTGTCCCCATGCTACATTGGAGGATATCAAGATCCCCAGGTGGACGCGGGTGCTAAGTGGTGAAGTCACAATTTGAACCTGAGCTGTCATACTCCACAGCCTAAGCACCAAGTTGGGGGCCGGATGGGTGGGGGAGGGCCATTTTGGAAAGGCCCTTGATTCTGCCCTGGTTTCTAGGCACAGGAATGATGGGTGTAATGTTGGAGGAGTCTCAGGCCTTGGGGGTAGAATGGCTGGGACAGCTGTGAAGAAGAGATTGTGTCCCCCTTTACTCCTTAGGCTTTGGCATCCTTGGGAGGAGTTGGTTCCTTCTGGCAAATGTGTGTCTGTCTGTTGAGCCTTTCTCCACAGTGATGCTGTACACAGAAATTCGTATTGAGCTTTTGTGATAAAAACAGAGGTGAGGGGCACCTGGCTGGCTCAGTCAATAGAGCCCACAACTCTTGATCTTGGGGTTGTGAGTTTGAGCCACATGTTGGGTGTAGAGATTACTTTAAAAAATTTTAAAACAAAACCAAACCAGAGGTGGGAGGTAGGGAATAAGTCATGCGTAGAACAGAAGGAACTGGTAGAAATGGGCTGCCTGCCCTCCCAAATAGGCCACTACAACGTTGTAATGGCTCGGTTCTAACAGTGATGGCATAAGACACAGCAGGTGCCTGGCTGTGTTGTCCAAGGTCTCCCAGGGTATATCCTGTCTCCTCACACGAACCCCCCCCCCCACCTCTTACCCCTTTGCAGGCTCTATCATCCAGGGACATTCTTCCAGTGGCCCCTGCTCCTTTGAGTAGCCCCTTGTCCTGGATGCGGCTGTGTGCCCCTCATGGCACCAGCGTGCCTGCTCAGGCCGCTCCGTATTCCCCAAGCCTCTCACTAGAGACAAGGGCCCTGCAAGGGCATGCAGACACCGTGGGGCATGCTACCCTCTATGCCCTCAGCCTGATTCCTGGGCTCTGTCCACAGTGAAACCATACCCACCACCGCACTGCCCTGTCCTAGAATAAGGAGGGGGGTCTAAGGAAGTATGTCTGTGCAAGTGGATTTGGACATTTCAGATAATAAATGCCAATCACTTGTGTCAGTCAGAGTCCAGCCAGAGAAAGATGGCACACTCAAATAGGTCATCTGAGCAGTGTTGAAAAAGGGGGCTGTTTTGGGGCGCCTGGGTGGCTCAGTTGGTTGAGCATCTGATTCTTGATTTCAGCTCAGGTCATGATCTCAGGGTCAGCCTCCCCCACATACACCCATGCATGTACTCTCTGAAAAAAAAAATTAAAGAAAAAGGGGGGGCTGTTTAGAAAGGGCAGGTATAAGGAAACCACAAGTGAGAGTGAGTGCTCCAGAGGGGACATTAGCAGGAAACCAGGACCATCGCTAGGTCTCAGCAGCCTGGGGAAGGGACGGGTAATGGAACCCGGGGAGAGATAACGGAGGAACACGGCAGAACCATGACTTTAGGTCGGAGGTGCAGAGAGCCCACAGTGACGTTGGTACTGCAGGGAAGGATCTGGGGGAATAACTACCCCAACCTCACCCCCCTCCTTCCCTCTATTCTTCTACTGGGGCTTCCCGTGGACTGAACATGACCAGAATTCAGAGAGCAAGGGAGCCTGTTGATGCCATCCCAGGGCAGAGGAGGCAGAGAGGGGTAGAGAGTCAGCCTGGAGGGTCCAATGGAAGACACACCCAACACATCCCTTAAGTTTACCTGGCATTTAGAGTTTACAAAGATGTTCCATACAATCATAATCCTCACAAAAACCCTGTGAGGTAGGGAAGACAGTAATTATAATCCCATTTCATAGATGATGACACTGAGGTTCAGAGAGGCAAAACAACTTGCCTAAGGTCATCTTGAGATGTTAAGTTCAAGGACCTTCTCTGAGAGGCTCCCTGTGGGAGGAAGTGGTTCTGCTGGGCATCCAGCTGCTGAAGAAAGCCCTTTAATCAACAGTCTTGTGGATCCAGAGTCTTGGGGAGCACTGGGGGTTCAGGCCAGCAAACCCTGAGCCTCAGGAGATATCCGTGCGGAGTGGGAGAGGCTGTTCCAAGCCACTGATGAGGAGCTTGGGCTCCTGGGACAGCGTGGAGGAACTGGGTACAATCGAGGTGTCCAGGCTGCCCATAGTGACCTCCCTTTCCTCCTGCCTCAAGTGCTGGAGAATCTCTTGGGACAGGGAGAAGCTGCTTCCCTCTGCAGGCTCTGGAACAAGGATGGGGAAGGTGGGGGAGGAGTGCAGTGAGGACCTCTTAGGTTCTTACTTGAACATGCCTTGAGACTTGCTGGGCAGATCCTCCAACCCACCCTCTCCCTCACCTCCCTGCATCCCTCCCCACCCCTGGCCCCTGGGGCTAGAGTTTCCTGGAATTCTGGAGCTAGAAGTGGTTTCAGAGATAACAGAATTCAACCTCCTCAGTCTTAGAGATGGTGCTCAGAGGGGGGCACAGACCTGCCGCTGAGGCTGCAGCCCCGGTCTCTTTGTCCAGAGCCTGGGGCTCTTCTGCTTCTTCTGGCAATCCCTAGATGAAGTCAGGGGCTCCTAGAGCCCATCTCTTCACACTCCACCCAGGACCCATAGCCAGGTACCCCAGAAAGCAACTGAGTGTCCTAGGTGGAGAGGTAGGACCTCTCCCGGGGGAGGAAGGAACCGGGCTTGAATGCCTTGACCACTTGGGAAGGCCCAGGGCATGGTTGTTGCTCTAGCTACTTCTAACCCCTCGGGACACCTGCCTCTTCCTGCCTGGTAGCCTACCCAGCCCTCACCCGAGTAGACAATGAGGCGGCAGTTGTTCTGCGACTCAGGGGCATCTGCCAGGATGTCTTCCAGTATCCGGCAGAAGAGTTTGGCCTGCTCCAGCCGATCCTGCTGGCTAAAGCCAGCTCGGCCGTCCTGGGACATGGCAAAAAGCGTCTGCAAGGGGGTGGCGTACTCCAGGACACAGATGCCCACCTGGAGGAGGCGAGAGGAACACAAGACTCAGCCAGGGCCAGGGCAGACAGACTCTGGGTCCTGGTGCCACTGCTAGGGCCCTGCTCCCTCAGCCTGTAGAGATGGCGTCCTGGGAGGCGGTTACCCTGCTGGGATCTATGGTGTCTGGTGGCCTTTGCTCTGAAAAATCAGCACCGGGACTGTGCTAAATTTATCCTCCTCGGATCCCAGGGCAAGGCCCGCGGAGTCACCTGCCGTCAACTGCTCCTGGGGGCTGGGCTCTGGCGTTCAACCCTGGCCTGGGTTTCCCCCCACCTATGTGAGATCTTTCAGATGTTCTCACATCTTGGTCTAGGACAGCTTTATGGTCAAGTGTGTGGCTTGTCGGGTTAAAATCATCCAATTTCTTCCTGGTTCTCTGAGTCTCAGTTTCCTCATCTGTAAAGTAGGGGACATAACAGTCCTCACCCCACAGGTGGCGGTGAGGGTTAGATGAGGTGGTCAGATGACTAGCATCTGGTATGCAGTAAGGGCTCAATTAGTGTTACTGATCATTATCATCATTCAGAGCTGAAGCATGCCCAGCTGGGGAAAGTAAGGCTCAGAGAAGGGCAATGAATTTTTATCAGTGCTTGGCCAGGGGTCAGAATTCTGGTGCTCTGGGCCTGACTCCTCCTTAGCAGCACCCGCCTCCCCGCACACTCACCGGTTTCCCGTTTTCCAGAAGCTCATAGACGCTGTTGGTGTAAACCCGGCCCTTGATGCCAGCACGGTCGGCACTTTGCTGGGGCAGCTGATAGAGGAAGCGAATGTTGGAGTCGGCCACACTCAGGTCATCAGGCACCCCACAGTCCAAAGGGAAGAGAATGTGCAGCCGATGGCTCCGTATGCCCTGTAGCATGTTGGTCTGCAGCTGATTGTACATGCGTATCCGGGTTGGGAGCCCTGGGGTGGAGAGACCCGAGAAGTCATTCCTACAACCCTATCTCCCACCCAACCCAGGACAGAGACCGAGGTCATTGGTTCCCTCAATGTGTAGGTGCAGGAGAACCAAGGGTCCAGTCCACTTGCACTGTGCAGGAGCCAGGAGGAGCAGAGCATTCAGGAACACTCCCACCCCTCCCTCTACTCCCACCACCTCTCTCTCCCCTCAATTGTCCTTTGTCCAGATTTCTCTGCTCACCCCACTCCTTCCCACCACAGCTTCAGGGCTCTGAGAGGCAGGAAGAGCCCTGGAAGGTGACATTCCCAGCAATCCTAGGTGCACAGGATCTGGCCTCTAGCTCCAGACCTGTTTCCTAGCAGAAGCTAGGTGACAAGGGCAGACAGCAATGAGATATGGGAGAGCCACGGCCTTGGCCAGCAAGTCAGAAGAAATGAGACATGAGACATGGGC